ACAATGTTTTCCTCTTTGTGCTGAGACTTTTAGGATCCACCATCTTAGCAATTTTCAAATACACCACACAGCAGTGCTAACCATGGTCACCATGCTATACATTACAGCCCCAGGACTTATTTATCCTGCAACTGGAAGTTTGTACTGTTGGACCCCACCTTTGCCCAGTCCCCCCAATCACAAATCTCACATAAACTTTAGATGCCAGAGTTTCCTCATTCTAAAAATAAGGCCAACTATAGATTATTATCTATCTTATGGAGATATACAAGTTTATTGCATTAAAAAATTAGAATTTTCTAGTGTTAAACTTTTACTTAATTATTATCGTAAGAACTTTCTTAAAAGGCCAGAATCACCATGAAAGAGGCTTTTAAAGGCATCTTAATGGCTAACCCTTACAATGAAAACTTTAGAATAGGTTTACAGAACATATTAGAGGAAAAAAGATTATTATTCCACCTTCTTATTAAAGAAAAGAGATGAATTTCTAGCATTGTTAATAGTACAAACAAATGAAAGAATCCTATTGAGTCTAACACTTTAAAAAATAAATCAATTTAATCTTTACAAAAACCTTATGAGGCAGGCACATTATTACCCAATTTTACAGATGAGGAGACTGAGACAGGGAGACATTAGGTAACTTGCCTGTGAGCAGCACTGCCTTGGGATTCGGTCCTGTGCAGTATAAGAGTGAATATCACGGGAGCCCCTCAGGATAGTATGGATTTGGTTTCAGACCACCACAGTGAAGTATCACAATGAAGCAGGTTGTAATCTTATTGCTGGTGTAATCTTGTCTTCAATTTGTAAAAAACACAAAATCTATGAAGCACAATAAAGTAAAGTGCAATAAAATGAGGTATGCCTGATTATATGTAAGGCCAATAGGCCTTAATTTGAAGGGATAATCTGATGACAAAAGAGTAAGTTTAAAAAAAATTAAGTATAATCACAGAAAAAAATATACCCATACGTTCATATTTATACCTGTATCGATATTTGGAGAAATATACACAAACAGTAGAAATTCTTTTTACAAAAATAATTTTATTTTAAAATGGCATTTGTTTAGAAGCATCTAGGCTGCCTCTGTGATGAGAACTTGAAATGTAATATGAACCACATACATGATTTTAAAGTTTCTAGTAGACATGCAAAAAGAAACAGGTGAAATTAATAACATATTTTACTTAATATATCCACAATATGGTGATTTTTTTATATTGCAATCAGTTTAGCAAATTAAAATATTTTACATTTTTTTAAATGTAAAGCCTTTGAAATCTGGAATATTTTATACTTACAATGCATCTCTAGTTAGATTAGGTACATTTCAAGTACACAGTCACATGTGCCTAGTGGCACACCTATATGCTGAATTGACTCTAAGGTTAAAAGAAAGGTAAAATATTGCTTTTTTCCCCCACTTACTCTATTGATACTTTATAATAAAACACAAATTTAATGCCCTGGAAAATAGTGAAAAGCCATTTATGTAGATAGGGTATTAAGACAACATGTTATAACTATATATGCACATAATTTTAATTTCTTACTCTACCCATTGTATTTATCACTATATTTAGATTTTAAAAGATAAAAAAGATTCAAAGATACGAGAGCTGGAGGCCAGAGTGAGTGACCTGGAGCTGGAAAAGGTGAAGCTTGTGAATGCAGGCTCTGAGCGGCTCCGCGCAGTGAAGGACATCAAACAGGAGAGAGATCAGTTATTAAACGAGGTGAAGACTTGTAGGAATGACTTGAACAGCCTTACAGGTATGTCACTTCAGTTCAAATTCTGCTAAAAAAAAAAAATAGCTCTATTGGTGAAGTCCAATGTAGATACTAGGACTATTGCAAAAGAATAATTCCTCATCCACATGACAAATGTGGATTAATTATGGGGCCCCAGTGGAGGTATTTCATTGCCTGAAATCTGATACTTCTCCTTCAAGAGCTTTCGTATCTTGCACTTATTAACTGTTTTTAGTCAGCCCTCAGAGTTCATGAAATTCTTTGCTGAGTTTCCAAGAGAGGGGTGAAGGAAATGGAAACCTTGAGTTCTTTGAGTCAAATACCTTGATTAGAGGTTTAATGATGAAGCAATATGCAAATTATGCACATTTTATGAAAGGAAAAATCCAAGACTTTAAATTTAAAAATGAAGCGCTCCTTGCTCACAATTAGTCTGGTAGAGACATCAGTTGCTTCATACACACACCACACATACACACACAGAGTCAATGGTTCCTGAGCATTTACTAAGCCAGATACTGAGAGAGGCCCTATACACACAACAGTGAGGCTCCCAGATAGTTGGTAGCCAGACTGTATGGAACGGGTTTCAGAACAGTGCCTGGGGCACAGTGGGTGTGCGCTGAGTGCAGATGCAGGAGAGAGCAGAAAATCAGCCTCCCTCAGGAGGTGTCATCTGTGTAGGTTTGAAGGGGGAGAAGGAAATTGGCAGGTGAAAAGAGGTGGACAGGCGATCCAGGCAGAGAGAACATTATGACCAAAGCCATGAGGGCATGAAGTAACATAATGTGACCTCAGAAGTATTTGTTGGAGTAAAAGCCTGAAGGAATGAGGACTAAGAAATGAGGCAGAATAGATAGGCAGAGGCAGACAATGTGGAGCCAGCAAAGGGTACTAAGCAAGAGATTGTTTTCATCAAATTTACATTTTAGAAGAAGAGTGTCAGCAGTATATACAGAAAGGCAAGACTAAAGGGACAGGGGCCAGCCAGTAAAGAGGATTTTTCGAGTTCCCAGAGTTCCTGGGAAAATATGGTGAGAACTTGACCTAAGGCAATGGTAGTAAGAATGAGAGGAGAAGAAGGAATTCAGAATATTTTGGGAGATTGAAATCAACAGTAATTAGTGATTGGAGGGGTTGTGTATGGGTTTCAGGTTTTAAGTTTGAATTATTGGGAAAACAATGATACCAACAACTGAGAGAGGGAAACAGGAAGGAAGGGCAAGTTTGAGGGCAGGAGGGTGAGATGCAGTGAGTAGGAAACAAGTCCCAGGGTATCCACATGGAAATGTCTGGTAGACAGAGACGCTCCCCATGGGGAATGGGCCTACGGTGTCAGTTGGACATCTTCGGAGGCCTCCCAGACTGCAAGAGGGTGCAGGCCGAGCTGAGGGACACCTCCCCCTGACCCTGAGTGCAAGATTTTTGTGCACTGGGCCTCTAGTATATATAAATGTATAAATATAAACAGGTAGTTGAGTGTGTGTATATTCTTGTATTTGAATGATGAATGCATGCCAGGTCTTTTGATAGTTACTGGAGATAAAAAATCAGATAAGACACATGATAATTTCAGGTTACTTATTGTGTCATGGAGATCTATCTACCTATAGATGATGGTTAAATCTATTGTAGTGAGTATGATAACCCCCCAAAAAAGGTATAAGGTGAAACAGATGTGAGTCAATTACACAGGTGGGAGATGAGCAGTGAATAATAAGTGGGTAGAGGAGGAGGATCCACCAAAGCAGATTTTAAAAAGAGTCAGATACCTGGAAGTGTGTGTACATATCTAATGTCTGTACCAAATCACAATATGACTTAATGAAGTCTCTTACAGCTCTAAAATTATGTAATCATTACTTACAAATAAAATATACTTCATAACAATGGGATAGAAAAAAGTAACAATTATTGACTATCATGTTCTACAGAGGACTATGAAGTCTTAAAAAGGAATTTTCGAAACAAAAGTGAAGAAATGGAAACTACTACAAATAAGCTAAAAATGCAATTAAAATCTGCACAGTGTGAACTAGAACAAACAAGAAATACATTGAAATCAATGGAAGGATCTGATGGTCATGGTATGCTTTATTAGATTTTTTTGTTTTTAATTTCACTGATCTAGATTTATTAAAAACACAAACCTGGATACATTTCCTGCCATCTCTTCACGTGCCATGTGATGTGAGAGAGATAGCAAGAGGTATCACTAATGGGTGCTATAGAGCAGTAGTTTTACTTGTTTTTTGTTTGTTTGTTTGGGGAGGGAGGGGAAGAGAGGAATTTCCATGTGCTTATGTATTTGAATATTTCCCTGTAGTTATTTCAGTAATTTCTAACAGACTTCCATGCTTATAAATGCCAATTAATTATTTTTAAGACTGTGTTGATATGAATACAAGTTACTGATAATTTTCATTCAGCCCCTTATTTTTCATGTGTTCATTATCTATAAACTACATATCTGTGGCTAATTGTCAATTCCTGGGAAGGAGCCTTAGAACTGAACTGCTAGGATGAGGGTTCCCTTCTCACCACTTCGACCTGTTCCCTTTTTACTTTGCTGCCCATATTAATTAGAGAGAGAAGTTTACTGTTTCATATTATTCATATTTTTGGTATGGCTGTATTAGCTGACTATAAAATAAATATTTATCTAAGTAAAGTCTTCATTCTTCCATTTCTCAGTATTTTTTAATGGCAGAAGATTTATGTCTGTGCTTGCTTCTGCAGCACATACTGGAACAACACAGAGAAGATTAACATGGCGCCGGCACAAAGACGGCACACACATTTTTTAATTGTTCCATACTTAGTGGTTCTCAGAGGCTCAGCTCTTTCTTTGCTGGTTCACATCAAGAAAATGATGGGGTTTGGAGAGGTCACTCAGGAGGCCCATTGGTGTCTGTACCCTCCCCCAAGATAGAGTCCCTGCCTTGGAGCCCTCAGGCATCTCCTCAAGTTTTGATAGGAACTATATTTGTTAGCATGCTTGTTTTTAATGAATGATACTTTTTCTTTTTAACCTCTAAGCTATAACTGGACCTGACTCAAAGCAGCGGCATTTTCAAACCTCTTTCCTCAGTTGACTATAGGGAGCCTATGTTTGAATTTCTAAGCAAGGAGGAGCTTTATATAAAGTTTCAGTAGCCTGGCATATTCTAAGTATTCAGTGCCTATTACCTGTACAAAGCATTCTCATTCTGTCACCAGGCTACTAAATTATCACATATATGCTTATGCTGCCAAGTTAACTATTGAAAGAATAATGAATCCCAAGCACATAACAATAACCATGGGAATGAAAATGAATGGTTTGTGATAGCACTGGAATCTTTTAAAAGATCACTAACAGTAGATGTCTTATGTGGTATTTGAAATATAAGTTTCTAGAAAAATTGTTTTAGTAAAAATATTATATATGTTATTTATTATATAACTATATATTTTATGTATGTATTTCCTATATGTGTAAGTATGAATTTGGTCAGTATTATTTACCACCATTGGAGATATGGCAAATTATAATGGTCAATGAAATTAATACCAGTAACAAGGAAATCACAAAATATTATATATTATATAATCCTATCTAATAAAAGGATAATATTCAAATTAACCATCACTACATCACAAAGATGGCAGCGCCCAGTCCTCTCAGCCCCACCGGAGTCCCCCAGTCCTGAGGGGGCAGCTGCTGAGAGCAGGCAGCGTGAGCGTTCTGGCAGAATGCTTGCTTCATCACCGTGGCGATGAAGCAAGCATTCCACCTGGCCGCGGAGGGCCTCTGGGCAGTGGGCACGGAGTGACCGGGGTTGGGGGGGACGCTTGCATTGTCCCCCTGGCGACGAAGCAAGCATTTTGCGCCCGGCTGTGGATGGGCCTCTGGGCCGCAGAGAGCCTCTGGGCAGCGGGCATGGAGTGGCCAGACCCCACAGAGAGCTACTGGCGCATGGATTCGTGTGCAGGGCTACTAGTATATATATAAATATATATATATGGTTTAAAACCTTCAAGTAATTGCTGAAAATTGTTATATCTCAATGTTGTGAAACTGTCCAGGTGCCTTGGCAAATCTTACTTGTCACCTTCCCATAATGCTTAACCTTCTCATTATAGTAGCCTCTCAAAATTTAGAAACTTAAGACAGTTTTCTTTCTTTTTTCCCAGCTATGAAGGTGGCAATGGGGATGCAAAAGCAAATCACAGCTAAAAGAGGTCAGATAGATGCCCTTCAGAGCAAGATACAATTTTTGGAAGAGGCAATGACAAATGCAAATAAGGTAAGTCTCTGCCCTGGGAGTGGGGGAAGCCAACATGTCCTCTCATTCATGTACTAGAAAACAGAGTAAGACGGAGCAGAGATTAAAAGTACAGTGGAGAAGAGGAAAGAGGTTACTTCTGACTGAGAAAATGAGGGAAAGGTTCCTGAAGGAACATTTGAGCCAGATCTCAAAGGAGATAGTTAAGTGCAGGAAATGGGCATTTCCATTTTGC